TTTTTAAGTGGCCCTAAGTCCTTCTTTAAATGAGATGATGTCTAAACCAATAAAGTGTTCAAAGTAACAATTTGGATTAATGCTAATTACTTATGTTTCCATAGTGTCTATGATTAGGCAGAGATGTTGGCAAAGTTAATTATCCTAACAGGATTTCATCTTTTCCATCTATCAGGTAGCAGTAGAAACTAAATTCCCAAATGGAATGCCTGAAGAATTACCATTCCTTTAGTTCTTCAGAAAGTAATGACACTGTGATTCCTGTGTAAATACCTTGACATTGTTTTTATTAAGCCTGGGAAATGACTTAGGAGTGTGTTTATTATCTTAAAATGAAAAACCTATACTGCTAAGATTGATTGAGTCCTTTGGTGGTGCAAACAGTTAACATGCCCAGCTATTAAGTGAAAGGTTGGTAGTTCAAGTTCACCCAGAGTGCCTCAGAAGAAAGACCTGGCAGTCTACTTTCAAGAAATCAGCCATTGAAAATCCTATGGAACACATTTCTTTCTATTCTGACACACACGAAGTTGTCGTGAGTCAGAGTCAACTCAGTAACAACTGGTATTTAAAAGAACGGTGTGATTTATGGTTAGTTGGTTTTCAGTAAGGTTGCCAAGGCCATTTACTGGGAAAAGAATAGCCTTTTCAACACGATCCTTGGACAAATGAATATCCACACGCACAAGAATGAATCTGGACCCCTACCTCACACCATGTACAAAAATCAACTCAAAATGGATCAAAGGCCTACATGGAAGGGCTAACATTACAAAACTCTACAAAGGACGCATAGGTGAAAATCTTTGTAACCTTGGATTAGTCAGTGGTTTCTTAAATATAACACCAAAAGCATAAGCAACAAAAGAAAAAATAGATAAATTGGACTTTAAAATTAAACACTTCCATGTCAAAGGACCCAGTCAAGAAAGTGAAAAGACAACCCACAGAGTGGAAGAAAATGTTTGTAGATCATATGTTTGATAAGGTTCTAGAATCAGAATATATAAAGAATTCTTACAACTCAACAATAAAAAGACAAATAGCCCAATTAAAAAGTAGGCAAAGGATTTGAACAGACGTTTCTTCAAAGAAGATACACAAATATCCAATAAGCACATGAAAAGATGCTCAGAGAAATTAAAATAAAAAACCACAGTGAGATACCACTTCACACCCGCTAGGATATTGTAATTTTTTAAACGGACAATAACAAGTGTTGGCAAGGATATAGAGAAATTGAAACGCTTGTACATGCTGGTAGAATGTAAAATGGTGCAGCCACTGTAGAAAACAGTTTCACGGTTCCTCAAAAAGTTAAACATAGAATGCCCATCTGACCCAGGAATTCCACTCTTAGGAATTCCATTCCTAGGTATATACATGAAACAGTTGAAAATAGTGTTTATACAAAAACATACACGTGAATGTTCATAGCAATATCATTAATAATAGCTAAAATGTGGAAACAACTCAAATGTTCATCAACAGGAATGGATAACCAAAATGTACATACTAAAATGGATTACTTCTTAGCCAGTAGAAGAAATGAAGTACTGTTTCATGGACTACAACATGGATGAACCTCAAAAACATGCTAAGTGAAAGAAGCCAGACGTAAAAGGTGACATATGATTCCATTTATATGAAATGTTCAGAATAAGCAAATCCATAGAGACAGAAAACAGATTAATGGTTGCCACGGGAAAGGGAGAAGTTGGAAGAGAACTGGGACTAACTGCTATTAGGTATGGAATTGTTAATAGGGATGGAAGTGTTCTGGAATTAGACAGCGGTGATGATTACACAACATGGTGAATATACTAAAAACCATTGAAGTACACACTTTAAAATGGTAAATTTTATACTATGTGAATTATATTCAATTTAAAAACCCAAAGATAAAATGGAAGATGTTATGACAGATTAGGAACTGAGTTATGAGGGATTTCCAAAGAAGTGAAATAGTTTGTACTTCCTAAAATGGAGATGACTAATAGAGAACTTTGTCTACTCTGTGGTTTTTAGAAGATGAAAAGAAAGGCTCTGTGTTGTGGTTTTTACAGTTGGAAAGGAAGAATCAGAGTCATTAGATGACCCTCTGCTCAGAGCCAAGGAATGTGGTTAGAAATGTTATGCAAACTGAGATGATAAAACCAAATTAGCTCCACTGAGCAAATTACCTGTAGTTCAGAAACAGCAGGGAGGTTGGAAAGTTAATAGGGCGTAGGAGAAGGACTGAAGGGATGTGATTTTCTTTTTAAGTGTACAATCCAACAACAGCTCTCCCTACATTTTGTGCTAAAATAAGAACATTTTCACACATTTTAATTGCTCTGTGATAACAACACTGTGAACTTCATCCACAAACATTTATTTCATTTATTTCAGTGTAGCAAGAATTCACCTTGTAAGTGGGAGTAACTGTCCGTTTAATAAAAAGAAATCCCCTCCCACATTGCTAATCCTGTTGTACATTTCTATAATAAGGTATGAATAATAAAATGACTTTTTTATTTTTCTGTTTTTAGGTTATATTTATAGATTACTATTTTCAAAGTAGCATCTTTATGAACTGAAATACCACTTGCTCCTTACACATTTGTAAAGAATGTCAAAAAAAATTGTAGAAGTTAAGGTTTTACAATATTTTTGGTCAGGATTTTAGATGAGACTTTTATGCCCATACAAATCTAAAGGTTTATAATGTTCACGTTGTTGTTAGGTGCCGTCAAGTCGGTTCCGACTCATAGTGACCCTATGCACCACAGAACGAAACTGCCTGGTCCTGCGCCATGCTCACAATCATTGTATGCTTGAGCCCATTTTTGCAGCCACTGTGCCAGCCCGTCTCGTTGAGGGTCTTCCTCTTTTTCGCTGACCCTGTACTTTACCAAGCATGATGTCTTTCTCCAGGGACTGATCCCTCCTGACAACATGTCCAAAGTATGTAAGATGTAGTCTCG